GATCTCCTTAAACTTGGCGTGAACCTGTTTGATTCGAAGAAGATTTTAATCTTCTTGGGGTTCATCGAGCTAAGGTTTGATAGAATTTCTTCCCTTCTTTTAGCCTTGTGATTTCTTCAACACTTCGTGGCGTTCTCTACTTTCTTTCTTGCTTACTTTCTGTGTCCCCTCTTTCTTATGGACCATTGGTCCTATTTATAGTCGAGAATTCACGCTAATTTTGGTAATTACTCAATTACATCTAATTAAAAGAGATAATTGAGTAATTATGATTTTATTTATTTGTTTGTTTATTTATTTAAAATATGATATAGGCCTTTGGATTTATGGACCTTAGTAGATTTTAATTTAATTGAGCTGATGATTTAAATCGATCTAATCCATTTCATTTTATTTTATTTTTATGTCTATAGTGACATTTGGATCACGAGTGGAGATATGATCAAATGTCTAGAATTCTTTATCTGGAAAGAGACCCTGATCAGGTGGAGTATAAGAGAGACACTTCTATCACTTCTATTAGGTGGAAACCCATTATCCACGTAGGTTGGGAGAAGTGATGTGGAGATAGAAGATTATCCCGTGGACTTAAGATCTATTGTGACTTACCAGTTAAACATGAGTTGAGTGATCTGTCTAGTGAGCTTGGTGGACGATAAGAGAAGATATGTGTTCTCGAGGTGTGAGCAACACAGAATGGGATAGGATAAGTGTGGTGAGATCTTTTCTTAGGGTCATTTATGCATGTGTTGCATATGTGGTTGACCGTGGTTTGATTGGCTTGGTTTTAATCTATGGTTCTATGTGAACGTGTTTTTGAAAAGATCTGTGTGTGTTATCCTATAGTATATCGTCATCACACGTGTATTCGCTCTCAATAGTTTACTGTTAAATATTTGCTTCTACTTGGGTGTTTTTGACTTTAACCCCAGTGAGTACATGGAGAAGGTATGGTATGTGTTGCAAGTTGGAAACATGAGATAAGGTCTGTGATCCAATTTTATTGGCTACCTTGATTATGTAAGTGTTAACTGTGTGTTTTGATTGCTTGCAGATTTATTGGGCATCAAGGTGGAGATTTGTTGGGTTTTTTGATACCCAATAAATTCTAGGTTATGATGTTAACGTGTGTTAATATTATTTCATAGGTATAGGCCAATGAATGAAATAAGTCCAACAACCAAGTCCATGAGCTACACTCGGTCCAATTGTATTCCCTTATGGATGGCTTAAATCTTGGCCCATTTAACCCTTTAATGGTCCAACTTAAAGCCTAACCCTAGAGTATATATATGGCTATAACCCTAGCCACTTTCTTATGATGATAGTGTGATTTTGAGAGAAGAAAAAAGAGAATCCCGGCTGCCCCCTTTATGTGAGAAAAAAGGTCTTCAGAAGTGTCCAGAACACTTGTATAATTTGTGCAATTGGTGGTTCCTTGATAGTATACCTTTGTGGTGTCTTCTCCTAGCCTTTGTGGCTACAAATCATCATCCTTTCTTGTCCTACGTAGGTAAGAGTGAATAGCAATCAAGGTGAATCAATTGGTTGTGGTTTGGAGCCGATTGAACTGGTTGTTGGTTGAGAAAGGTGCGTTGGATTGAGCCCGAAAATCACCGATTTGAAGATCTTTCAAGAGAGCTTCCGCAACAAAGTATATTTTAAAAATGAGGGTCTAATAGGGGCCAAATGTAAATCGATAAAATACTCAATTTTAAAAAGTTAATATATTAAAATGGTGTCCTCAATTGAGATTATGATGGATTTTTAAAATTATTCTAAATTTAGATGTCTTCAATTGAGATCTTAACAAATTTTTATGAAATCCATTAAAATTTAGGTATTCCCAATTGAGATTTTAATAAAATTTAATGAAATCCTTTAAAATTTAGGTATCCTCAATAACTAATTAATTTACAAAAATTTCATTAATAAAAGAATTTTAAAATATTTGAATAGATCTCAAGTTTAAAAATACATATTACCAAATCTTTTGAAATTTCACAATATTTGATGAGATTCTTAAGGAATTTGTAAGAATCTATTCAAATCCATGAAATTCATTAAAATTTATAATTTTTTAAAATTCATTAAAATCTTAGTAGAGAACACTTCCGCAAAGCTTTTGGAGCTTATTTTAATATTTGACTAGTTAAAATAAATAGCATCTCAATTTGGCTATGTTTGAACCTCATTTTTTGGGATATTAATTTTATAATAGTGATTTCTGTTTTGGAGAGTATGTGGTTAAAAATAGAAAAAAAAATGAGATTATATGCAGAATTATTTTATTGAAAAGTTTGTGATTAAAAGGTAATTTTAAAAAAAAAAAGAATCTAAGGAATTAGAGTCAAGGATATGTCATTTGTACAATGATTTTTGACTATTGTCGATAGTGTTGTATGTGTTAGTAAAGTGTTTAACAAGGCATAGCAAAATCAATCTTACTATAGTTATAGGCTCAACGATGGAGTTTATAAGAAAGTGGACATATGTCAATACATGATTAAACAATTTAAAAATAAAGATAAAAATAAAAATTCAGCACCCAATCTCGCCCTGTTACCCCCACCTTGTCAACAATCCTGTCTAAGGAGCATAATTGTAGCAAAACATAAATGAGCTGGCACTATGTGGCGTTAATCAAATCACTATTTTATTTAATTAATTTTTATCATATTTCCCTAGATGTTGATAAGATTATATTAATATTTTCTTTAGTTTGCTGATATTTAAAAAATAAAAAATAAATAATAATAATAATAATAATAATAATAATAATAATAATAATAATAATAATAATAATAATAATAATAATAGACATTGATGTGGTTGAAAATGCAAGCAGATGACAGTAAAATTGTCATTTAGAGCTTGTTGGATGCAATTTTTTTTTTTAAATAGATTTTTGGGAAATAATTTTTGAAAAAATGTATGGTTAAAAAATTATAAATTATATGTAAAATTATTTATTGGTAGAATATATGATCGAAAATGGGTTTGAGAGAAAAATGTACTTTCAAAAATGAGTATTAAATAGGGCTTAATTGACTATAACTATGGTATCATTTGTTTCTAAGATATTTAATTATATATTTTTCTGGAGGGTTGGGTTGTATTTAATTTATTACAAGCTGTTGAATCTTTAACTTCATATTATTTTTGGCATAACTTAATTATTGCATTTCCTTTTCATCATCATCGAATTACTATTTTTGTGTGGGCTGGGAGAAAAATTGGTAGTGAAGTCGTTTCGTGGCATCAATTATCATTTTGAGCATGTTTGGGCAGTGGTTGCTTCCTTTCAGAGAGAACCACAACCAAACAAGGGAGTAGAAATTTAAATTACCATTTACATAGGCTTATAAGAAGTGTAGTTAATGTCTTCAAAAATTTATGAGGTTGAGAAGGAGTACCAGTTCGTGATAGCTTGTCGTGCTAGTCACCTTAGTCTACCTTTCCTAGATCGATATTTATTTCCTTTGTTTGGCTTCAATTTGAGTGGTTGACACTCTCTCCATGATCTAGCCTTCAAATGATTTCGATGATGGTTGTCAAATACACAACTGTCAAAAGTAAGATCAGGCAGAGTATAATTCGATTGTATAGAAAGAAACCTCCAAAGTGTTTGATCGTCAAAAGAAAAGTTGTAGCATTTCCTATTGATTTGTCTAGAGGATGTAAGCTTTCTCGTCTAAAGGCAATGAGAACTTTCTCACTATACATGACCACTAGGAACGAAAGGTCAACAATAATGAAGGAAGAGGAGCATGAGCTATCCTTTGTATAGGCAGAACTAAATGATTACAAGATAGACAACGAGTAAGGTAACGTTAACAATCTACATCTTTTTATCTGATGTTCGAGGGGCTTCATTTTTCTTGTTAGGCATTTCTAAAAAACTAGTATTTTATCACAAGTAATTCTTGCGTGGTTGCCACAACAAGGGTCACCCAGAAATAATTATAATTGTTGTGAATACTTCAGGTAGAACTCGATTTTAAGATTCCACTGTACATTCAAAATACTAGCATTTCTTGAACAACATTTTTAGACCACTCTATCCAAATCATTCAGCAAAAATAATTTCTTCGTTTTTAGGTAGTTTTGGAATGACTAAAATATCAAATTAATAGGAAAATAGATTATTATTTCAAATCAAATTATTTGCAACTACCTAGTTTCAAAAATCTTATTATTGTGATCCCAAAACTATTTTTTATAAGTTGTTTCAAATATCTTTATTCTCGTCTATTGCACATTTTATCTTATCAAATTAGTCAAACGCATTTGGTAAAACATGTTTATCTTCCTTGTAAAACTAGATAAAAGTCATTTCTTCAGGTTGAAGCATTATAAAAGAGGTCACGAAACTAGAAAAAGACTTTCCCTTTTATTATAATGAAGTTTCGTAAGTCTTAACATAGTGATGAGGCTTTGATAACAAACTCTCTTAATCAAATTTGACACGTAGCTGAATTGATAAAAATCTATATTATTTGAATTGAAAAATTTATTATAAAAAATAGATCAAGTCATTCCTTCCTTGTTTGATTTTGATTATTTGATAATCATTTCCCTTTCACTCAATTTCAATCGCACATCCCCAACAAATATAATTTTTCATGTCTCTTTCATAATATTTTCATACTTTTAGCCATACATTCAAAAAAAAAAAAAAAAGTTATTTTAAAAAATTTGCTTGTTAAAAAATCTTTAACAAACAAGCCATCGGTTACATTTAGGGGTTGTTGGAACCCTATTTTTCTCAAAAAAAATCCTTTTTTAATAGTGTTATAATGGAGAATGTGTGATTAAAAAATAATAAAAAATTCTATATTTGCCTGTAATATTATTTTATTGAAAAATATATTATGTATAATTAAAATGATGTCAAATTACTGTTAAAAAATATATTTTGAAGAAAAAATGGGACCCAAGGGCTTAGACACGCTTAATCATATATGTATCAGATTCAAACAAGGCCTTATTGGATAAACATAAATTTCCTCGTCACCTTGCCAAAAAAAACAAGATTGCATTTTTGGCTAAGCAGACTCTATCCAAATTTTTCTCATATTATTACGCATTATAGATTCTTATCCTTCACTTTACTATACCTTTTCTTTCTTCATTCTGGTCCCTTCGATTCAGAAATATCTTGGAATTTCAGGTCTCCTTTTTTAGTTTTTCTTTTTGTCGTTTGTTACTTTTTTCGATGTTTATTGGATTCTATATGTGAAAAATGCGATTTTGATAAGTCGGTCGTTATTTACATTGAAATTTGTTGGGTTTTTTTCCGCAGTGAAATTTAGCAATGGGCAGCGCTTCATCGATGTTAACTCAGTATGAAATTGAAGAAGTTCAAGAACACTGTAATTATCTGTGTGAGTACCCTTTTGCTTATTCCCAGAATCTCGATTTTTGTTTTTATCTAGTTTTCAATTTCTGCTGAACTGAATGTATTTTTTTATTTTTTGTAATAATATAGTTACTCAGCAAGAAATAGTGTCTGTGTATAAGAGATTTTGCCAACTCGATAAGAATGCAAAGGGGTTCATATCAGCAGATGAGTTTTTATCAGCACCTGAGTTTGCAATGAATCCACTTTCTCAGGTGATTTTGGGCACGTGTGGCTAGTTTGAAAAAAAAGTTAAAAATCACTTAACTTCGAAAGTAACCGTCGAAGCTTCGGCAAACGCGCTCTTTTGTCGTGGTTGTCATTCTGTTATTCTTATTTGTAACATGTTCGATGATTTTTTATTCTTTTCTTTCTTTTGTTTTTTTTTTTTTTTTTTTTTTTTTTTTTTTTTTTTTTTTTTTTTTTTTTTTTTGGATGCTTATAGAGGCTACTGAAGTTGGTGGATGGATTGAATTTCAAGGAATTCGTTGCATTCTTGTCAGCTTTCAGTGCTAAAGCAACGGTGCCTCAAAAAATTGAGAGTAGGTCTATTAAGCCTCATTTGTATTCAGAATTTAATGCATACCAAATCTTCTGTTTCACGGTAAATTCATTGCTACTAGTACTTTTTCGTGTTGATTGATCTAGAAATTGAAAGATTTAAGTTTGGATATTTAAATCTGTTTGGTTTTGACATAGTTTTTACGAAGTATTCTTTCTAGAATCTGATTTAATTATAGGACCAAATGAAATTTCATTTGTCCCGGAATGAGGATTCACAGTAACTCTAAGAAACCCTTATGATTACATCTCCAAAGAGAGATGATTCAATTGGTTATGAAGAGAAATGTTAATCTATAGACTGGAACTGACAAATGCATAAGCATTTTCGGTTATTTTTGGTTACCGAAGCGCTTTTTTGTGTCTTTTCCTTTACATTTTCTTATATTTTTAGACTATTCTTCTTCTTCTTTTTTTGTTTCTTTTTTTTTTTTGGGTAAATCTTCTTGGCAAAGTTTATTGCTTTATTCTTCTGATGTTTTGATTTTAATTCCAATCAGTGATCCTATTGACCTGGCGAATATTTAAATGTAAATAATTTAGCATATGCTGTTCAATTTATTAACTCTGTACAGTGCTTTAATGTCTCAGTTATTGTTGAAAAATGAATTGCCACATGGATGAGCTGACATGGACAAGCCACGTAAACAGCCTGAGGAAGTATTCTAGAAGAAGAAAGATATAGCCACTTGCGTGAGGAATATTCTAACAGAAGAGTAGTGTAGAAGATGAGGGATTCTTTCTCTTTCCAATTCTGTTATGATTGTATAATAGTCACATTTCTATATATAGCTGTAAATATTAATTCATATATACAAGATACAGGAGAAATAGTTCTGCATTTTCGTCATTCTCCTCTGCATAATTGTTTTTTTCATTTTCTGATAGTTATCTTCAAAATATACAACTCTGATTGCAATGGAAAGGTAACATTTAATGACATAATACAAGTGCTCCATGATTTGACTGGCTCATTCATGTCAGATAAGCAAAGAGAGGTATTACAATGCTCCTGTTTTATTCTGCTATTTTGTTCTGTATAATGAATCCGGTGTTTCAGAATTTAACTTGGCAAGTTTTAGGTTGCTAAATAATTTTTAGTATTGGACCACAATCATGAGATAAGAGTCGTAAAAGTTAAGATCATTTGTAGGGCTTCTGCTGTGTGTTAAATGATCCATGCCAAATTAGGGTTTGAGTAGTGGAACCATAAATGGTTGTAACTTTAAGCGATTGCCTCAATATTTATACACTTACACAGTAGTTTTAATAGTTAACTGATTAAATGTGATAATAATTTGTCGACGGACAACGAATGAGTTGTATAAATGTTTTGTTTCTGTGTTTGTTGGCCTGCCAGTATAATTGCTTTTAATTTTCTCTATCTTTACATTACTTTTAAGAAATCTCTACTCTTACATCATACTTATATTTTCTGTAGTGTTTTTTACACCATTGCATTTAATTCTGTGTTTTGCAGGAAGTATTAAGCCAACTTTTGCATGAAGCTGGTTATACAAAGGAATCTTATCTTCTGTTAGATGACTTTGTCAAGGTTCGTCTATCTGAAATACTATTTTCTGATGGTCTATTTGTTTGTTAACTTATATATAGACTCATATGACACACGAGCATGTTTGACTAAGCGTAAAAATAAATGTTGTTCTAAACATTACTTACAAGTTACTTTATTCTGATAGTTAGGTGACATTACTTTCAAAATAAATAACTTCTTATTCTTAATCTTGACCAATAAAAGGATTATTAGTTTTAATAGAAACTTATTTACTTATATAAGTAGATGTTTTAAGCTTATCAAACACGCACATTTTCAAGCTGCTTCCTTATTAAGCGGTGAACTTTACTTGTACCATGCTCGTATCATCCTACATTTCATTGTTGGCTCCTTTAAATTATGGCCTTAAGAGACAAGTCCTGGCAGGCAAAAGTTTCTATTCAAAAATGTGTTATAAAAAGACAATAAACTACGAAATTAATGGCCAAAAGAGTTGACATGTTAAAACTTAAATAGCTAGATCAATGTGCACGTGAATGATAAAACTCTCAATAAAATATGTTCCGAAATTCCAGGAATGCGTAGCCAGAGGTTCCTCTAAAAATCTGCCCCGAGCTTTCTTGCTTTAACAGCATCTAGAAGAAACATCATAAAGTTGTCATCCTCTTCTGTCTTAAAATATCATTCACCTCTAGTTTGGTAGGTTGCATTTTAACAAAAATAGTCCTCTAATAGCATATGTTTGATATGCAGTACTTGTCTGAATTTGACGTGACACTACAATAGACAAAATTTCGACTTCTTTTTCTTTTTTAATACTATTGAGTACTGTAGAGCCCACCCCTAAATGAAGCGCAAGTTGTGGAATGCTAGACTATATATGTTTGACTTGCCCAACTACAGAGGTAGCTCAGGATAAAGTTGGATGAAGCTGCTTAACATTTTGCCTCTTCTAGCATTGTTTTTCTCATATGCGTAATATTTATCATTGTTAAAACGCTCTTGTTTCAGATATTAGACAACCCGGTTTGAAAATGGAGGTGGATGTCCCCGATGACTAGCAAAGCTTGCTCTTCTCATCTCGTCATTGATAGAAGATAAATGGAATTATGGAAGAGTATTCGGGCTTGAGGCTTCCCATTGTAGATGTGCACATGTGTACCTGTATTAGTGTTCCTCATTTTCTTTTTTTCTTAAGATAGGAAAAGGAATATCTATACTTACAATTGAAAATAAGCTGAAAGGTGGATCACAACATAGTATTGGTGCAAGTTGATTGGTCTAAAGAATATAACTTGGATTGTGCTAGTTATGGGGTGATATGGACCATAGATTAAATCCAATGGTTGGATTTAATCTAGTGGTCAATTACCTATACTAGTATTGTCACTCTCTAAACCATAGTACAATATTTGAATTTTGAATTCAAATGAATTGGCTCTATAATTTCAAGACCTCTTCATTCTCTCTACTTGGACTTGGCATAACATTTGAGAGAGAGCATAGAGAGGTAACCAAGTGGGAGCTTTCCATAACTCCGACGAAATTCTTAGTGGCTTCCGACGGATCATTTCTCGGTATATCCATTGCCATTCCCATGGACGACGGTGCATGATCCGATGTGGCACAAATCTGAGCTCAACATCAAGAACACTTCATTGGTGGTGTTGAAGAAGCTTTGAATCGGTTTTGGTTCGTTTTTACACTTTGAGAGTTTATTATTCCGCATTGTAGTTGTAATAATTTTTTGTATTCTACACTTTAAACTCTACAGATGGTATCAGAGCTTAGGCTAGTGGTAAAAAGTGTTAAAACAACTTCAAAATCAGATTAGAAGTCGAAGGGGTTCGGTTTTGTTCGAAAACAAGTTGAGCAGAAACTTTGAACCCATTTTCTGAAAAAAGTACACATCTGGTGGACGAACGGAGACCACCACCAGACTCCGGACGTCAAGCACTATATTCCAGTGAAGCGCGGGTGAGTCACGCGCCGACGGTGGAGGTGGCATGTGAGACCACACGAAGAGAACAAAGGCGACACGTGAGGGCGCATCGTGAGGTTTCAACTGGAGATCAAAAAATACAGATTCTTCCTTGATGAATTTCTGACATTCTGGTGGTGTTGGATTTCTGTTTGGTGCACTGTGGAAGAAGATACAGTCTTGGGCAGAAAAGTGGAAACGGAGAAACTTTTCCGTTAGCGGCTCGGTGGTGTTTCCTAGTGTTTCAGCGGCTGTTGGATGACTTAGGGTTGTTACTGGAGGCTTCAAATCGATAAAGACTCGCATCTCTCCTTAAAATACGAACCAATAGATTGGTTCGCTTGGTTTGCGCATTTTAAGACCCTCTCGAATTTATAATTGAAATATTGTGTTATTTACTGCCATATTGTTACTTGACTCTTGTGATATTGGTTATGTGTTACTTGTTATGATATCATCATTTATGTCATCTTAGAAAGTAATTTATATAGAAATTGGTTTGAGCTTGAAAGTAATTTATATAGAAATTGGTTTGAGCTTGTATTTGTGTGTGGGTAAATTGGATAAATAAAACTTTTTCGAAAACATTATTTTGCTAATATGGCCTCTTGAGTTGAATTGACACAATTCAATGATAAGGGAGATTATTCCATTTGAAAGCAAAAAATGAAAGCTATTTTAATTCAACAAAAAGTTTCTAAAGCTCTTGACGACCCGAAAAAATATTCCGATGCATTAAAAGCTAAATCAGATGAAATCACTGAGATGAATGAAATTGCAAATAGTTTGATTATATTGCATTTATCTGATGATGTGTTAGGACAAGTTGAACGACATAAGACTGCCGAGTTGTGGGAGGCACTTGACAAGCTTTTTTTGGAAAAATCTCTTCCAAACAAAATACATTTGCTTCAAAAACTGTTTAGTTTTAAGCTAGACCCGGAAAAGAATCTTGAATCAAATTTGAGTGACTTTAACAGACTCGTCAAGTGTTTGGCCCACGACGACAAGAAATTTGATGATGAATATCTAGCGGTTATACTTTTAAATGCTACGCCCGAATCTTATAGAGATGTTAGGAATGCTATCACGTATGCTAGGGATACTTTGACCCAAGATATTGTGACTGATGCTTTGAGGGCTAGGGAGCTAGAGCTTAAGAAAGAGTCAAGGGGTAGCTCGAGAGAAGAGAGTTTGTTTGCTAGATGGAGGAGTGAGACGAGGGAGAACCATTTTCAAAGTAAGAAGGGCAGATGAAAATCGAAGGGTAGGTCTAAGTCTAGAGATAAGAGTGGTAAGAAATGCTTCCATTGTAGCAAGTTAGGACATTTCAAGAAAGACTGTAATGACTTTAAAAGGAAACAAAGACCGCAGCAAAATGATGATTAGAACTTAGTTGCTGTAAGTGATTCCCTCGATTGCCTACATGTTATGACCGTGTCAAGAGATTTTGACACCGATTTAAATGGTGCTTGTGATAACATACATGTCATGAATATTTCTAATATTGATTTTGACACTGAGTGGGTATTAGACGCTGGTGCTACTGTTCATATGTGTCCTGTTAAATCTTGGTTCTATAACTATAGAGATGTGAATCCTAGAAAAGTATACTTAAGGGATGATCGTACACACAATATAGAAGGAGTAGGTGGTATTGCTATTAGGATGCATGATGGCATTATCAGACCCCTTAGAGGTGTTAGGTATGTCCCGGGCCTGGCAAGGAATCTCATTTCCTTAGGCACTCTAGAAGAAGAAGGCCATGAGTTCAAATCTCATGCTGGTACTTTAAAGATTTGTAAAGGATCTCTAGTGGTTATGAAAGGTCCCAAAAAGAATGAGTTATATGTCCTTCAAGGTAAAACCTTGGATAGTAAAGAGTCGGCATTATCTTTAGTTTCTAAAGATAAATCAGATCTTTGGCATAAGAGGATGGGACACATTGGGAACAAAGGATTAAAATACTTAGTGATCAAAATTTACTTGGTAAGGATAGTGTTACACCTTTAAATTTTTGCGAAACGTGTGTTCTAGGAAAGTTACACAATGTTAGCTTTGGGACAGGTGAACACAACACTAAGAGACCATTGGACTACATTCATGCAGGTTTGTGGGTCCTAAGAAACACCCCACACATGGAGGAAATAGATTTTTTCAATCCATTGTTGAAGATCACTCGAGGAAAGTTTGGGTGTATCTCCTTAAATCCAAATCTGAATCTTTTAGTAAGTTTAAGTCTTGGCTTGCCTTAGTTGAAAATCAAATAGGAAAAGGCGTGAAAACTCTTAGGATGGATAATGGTTTAGAGTATTGCAACTTCGAATTTGATAATTTCTGCAAGGGAAAGGGTATAATGAGGCACATGACTGTAAGACATACCCCTCAACAAAATGGGGTAGCGAAGAGAATGAATCGGACTTTAATGGATAAAGTCAAATGTATGATGATTAATTCTAGGTTGTCTAAAGGTTTCTGGGGTGAAGCCGTGTGCACTGCTGCCTATTTAATAAATAGGTCACCTTCTAGTTCTGTTAACTTCAAAACTCCTCAAGAGTTGTGGTCTGGAAAATCTCCAGATTTGTCACATATTAGAGTGTTTGGTTGTGCGGCTTATGCACATCAGGTTGAGGGCAAATTGGACCCTAGGGCTACTAAGTGTGTCATGTTAGGTTATCCAGAGGGAGTAAAAGGATATAGACTATGGGTTTTAGGTGTAAAGGGCATTAAGATTATTAACAGTAGAGATGTAATGTTCAATAAACTTGATATGCCTTGTCTTAAAAACATAGTAAGTCAGAACAAACACATTAAGGAAGGAGAATCTTCTATTGGAAAGAAGATGGAATTTGAGGTGAAGAGATTAGAAGATAATCTAGAGGATAGTGAAATTCAACCTCAAGAAGAATCTGATCAAGAAGCAGTGATAGAACAACCTGAACTTGAAATTCCTGAAACTGTTATCCCTAATCAAGAAACATCTACGGGTACTAATTTGGATGATTACCAATTGGTGAGGGATAGAGAGAGAAGACAAGTGAAGCCCAATTTGAAATACATCTCTTCAAATTTGATGGAATTTGTCCTAGTTTCAGGTGAAGCCTTGGAGTCAGTTGAACCGACTTCATTTAAGGAAGCGGTTAACTGTGAAAATTCTGAAAATTGGAAAAAGGCAATGAGAGAAGAGATACAGTCTCTAAACAAAAATGAGACTTGGAAGTTGGTTGAAAAATCAATGAATCAAAAGGTAGTCCATTGTAAATGGATCTACAAGTTAAAAGAAGGAGTAGGACCTAAAGACCCTTTAACATACAAAGTTAGATTGGTTGAGAAGGGATTTACTCAGAGAGAAGGGATAGATATAATGAGGTATTCTCACCAGTTATTAAGTATAAAACTATCAGGTTAGTCTTAGCCTTGGTTGTCCAGTATGATTGGGAATTGGAGCAACTAGATGTTTAGACGACTTTTCTTCATGGGGAGTTAGATGAATTGATTTACATGTCTCAACCTCAAGGGTTCGAGGTGAAAGGAAAATCAGAACTTGTGGGTTTGCTTAGAAAGTCCTTATATGGTCTTAAGCAGAGTCCTAGGCAATGGTATAAGAGATTTGATGCTTTTTATGCTTAAAATTGGTTTTAAGAGGAGTGAAATTGATGCATGTCTATATTTCAATAACTCTAAAATAGGCTGTGAAGTTTATTTATTATTATATGTGGATGACATGTTGCTTACTAGTCCTAGTAAAGCTGAAATCATAAAGATGAAAAACCTTTTAAAATCGAAATTTGACATGAAAGACTTAGGAGAGGCAAGAAAAATTCTTGGTATGGTTATTAAAAGGAATAGGGCTGGTAATGGGATGATTATTAATCAAGAGTCTTATTTGAATAAAGTGATAACCAAATTTGGTATGAAATTTGCTAAGTCTGTCAATATACCATTAGCTGCACACACGAACTTATCATCTACACAATGCCCTAAAACTGAAGAAGAAATGCATGAAATGAGTAATGTTCCCTATGCTAATGCCATTGGGTCTGTAATGTATTCTATGATTACCACAAGACCGGACCTTGCATATGCAGTTAGTTTTTTGAGTAGGTTTATGTCTAACCCAGGTAAACCACATTGGACTGCACTTAAATGGCTATTAAGATACCTAGCTGGATCTTTGAAAAGGGGATTGGTATTTGAAAGAAGAAGTAACAAATTATAACTTAAAGGATATGTAGATTCTAACTTTGCCGGGGATAAAGATCGGAGGAAATCTACCACTTCTTACTTCTTCACTTTATGTGATAATTGTATCACTTGGAAATCACAGTTGCAACCTATAGTTACACTCTTCAGCACTGAAACAGAATATGTTGCATTAAATGAAGCTGTAAAGGAATGCATGTGGCAGAAACGCCTTCTCTGTGAATTAAACTTCTTGAATGATAATGCTATGATTTTTACTGATAGTCAAAGTTCATTGATGTTGTGTAAAAATCCTATTTATCATGAACGTACTAAGCATATTGAGGTGAAGTATCACTTCATTAGGGAGAAGTTAGCTTCTGATGATTTTATTTTGCTTAAAATTGCGACTGATGATAACCTTGCAGATGTTGGATCAAAAGTACTTGCGGTTGGTAAGTTCAACAAATGTTTATCAATACTAAGTATTGATAATGGTTAATTGTTGTGCAGGTACTAAGTTGGAGTGAGCGATAATGATAAAAATAAGACCACACTAATGGATATCACTTGTATCCGGGGAATTTGGCGATGGATGTTATGTGATCCAAGGTGAAGATTTGAAAGGTGGATCACAACATAGTATTTGTACAAGTTGATTGGTCTAGAGAATGTGACTTGGATTGTGCTAGTTATGGAGTGATATGGACCATAGATTAAATCCAATGGTTGGATTTAATTTAGTGGTTAATTACCTATACTAGTATTGTCACTCTCTAGACCATAGTACAATATTTGAATTTTGAATTCAAATGAATTGGCTCTATAATTTCAAGACCTTTTCATTCTCTCTACTTGGACTTGGCATAACATTTGAGAGAAAGCATAGAGAGGTAACCAAGTGGGAGCTTTCCATAACTCCGGCGAAATTCTTGGTGGCTTTCGGCGGATCCTTTCTCGATATATCCATTGCCATTCCCGTGGACGATGGTGCATGATCCGGTGTGGCACAAATCTGAGCTCAACGTCAATAACACTTCATTGGTGGTGTTGAAGAAGCTTTGAATCGATTTTGGTTCGGTTTTACACTTTGAGAGTTTATTATTCCTATTGTAGTTGTAATAATCTTTTGTATTCTACACTTTAAACTCTACATAAGCCTTGTGTACTTGGATAATGCTGTGCATATTTTTGTCGTGTTGTTTATAGTCTTTTATCAAGACATTATGGTGCATACTTTTCTCAGTTTTCAGACTTTTACGCACCAAAAAAGTG